GATTTGAGTGCGGGACCTCTCGAATACAAAGCAGGGCTTCTGTCCACGCGACATAAGCTTTCAGTGCGTTTATGGTCGATTTAAATAACATGAACCTCTTTGAAAAGAGAGTTAGTTTGTTTTGCTCCGTGCTTTGTGTGGTTTCAGTTCTACCTGTAATTTCTCCCAGCAACAAATTAAAGACAAAACTTCAGAAAGCGAACTTCGGAACTGGGAAGGAGATGCGTGGAGACGGCGCACACCTCTGCTCTGTTAGGCATTTGTAACGTGAGCGAAGTAACAATTAAGAAAAGCAATCAATATATTGCCCGCCCGGGGACAGATATTCTGGCAGCGGAGCTACAAGAGCACCACTTGGAAGTTTCCGAGCTGTGTCCTGAGAGTTATAACAGAAGATGATGGAACCGACCTACGGCTCTCAGCCTTGGGATTCCTGTTTCGTAACGTTTAACGTGAGAACTGGTGTAGGCCTGCTGAATTACACAATCCTTAAAGTTACGCTGTGTTGTGGGTTAATGTAATGCTGACAGCGCATTTGCGTTCCTTTTTTGCATTGTTTCTTTCTCTTGCCTTTGTATGTGTTTCTTCGTTCCCTTTGTTTTTGTCTATCTATCTATCTATCTATCTATCTATCTATCTATCTATCTATCTATCTATCTATCTATCTATCTATCTGTCTGTCTGTCTGTCTGTCTGTCTGTCTGTCTGTCTGTCTGTCTATCTATCTATCTATCTATTTGTCTGTCTGTCTGTCCGTCCGTCCACCTATCTACCTACCTAGATCTTGTGTAAACGGACATTTCGGAGGAACGTATCGCCTCCATCTTCAGGGAGCTATCTACACGGCGCCACATTCAGAAGACGGCATTCTTCATAGTCACCGCCGTGAAAACCTCAAATCTTACACAGTATGAGGTTCTCACGGCGGTAGTACTGAGGGATGTGAGCCCGTATAGTTTGGTATATAGGTACCCAGAAGACGTGAGCTGAATTGGAACCATAATGTGTATATATAATTTTCTTTTCCTCTGTACATATTTCATTTGTACATGAGAGTGATAAATGCACCGGTAGAGCTCAGCCGGTATCGCTACGGAATGGACGACCGGATTTCCATTCCTGGTACTGGAAAGAGATCTTCTCCACAGTATCCAGATCGGCTCTGGGGCCCTCCTATCCAGTGAGTACGAGGTGTAAATCGGCCAGGGCGTGAAACTGACCATTTACCTCCATCTAGTGCTACGCCTTCATGGCGTGGACGACAGTTAAGGACAGGAGCAACTGTATTTACCTTATGAGAATACTAAACCGGATGTAGTGTTACGTAACGCGGTAACGTATAGCTCATGTAAACGTCGTGGGTAATGTGTTACGGTGGCGGAAACAGAAAGTCTGAGAAAGTCTTGCTTGTAAAGCCACTGGCTCGCATATTACGCCGTATTCGTAGGCAACTTGTTGTATAGTTGTGTCCCACGTGTAGTATAACGAGCACGTATTGAAAATCCACGCCAGAGGGGGTGGCGAACTGGCCCATTTTTGTATTACTGAAAGATGGTCGGACATGTAGAAATAATGGAACTGAGAAGTGATGTTTTCTGGGCTGTAACGCCATGGAGTTCCGACATTACAACCCAGTCAAGGCTTTGCTTATGTTCCGTGGCAGGGCTAAAGGGCCTGGACAGCGCAGTCGGTATAGCGACTGGCTGTGGGCTGGACGACCGAGGGGTCGGAGTTCGAGTCATGGTAGGGGCGAGAATTTTCGCTTCTTCATGGGCTCTGGGGCCCACTTAGCTTCATATCCAATGGGTACCGGGGGCCTTTTCCTCGGGAGTAAAGCGGCCGGGGTCTGAAGCTGGCCACTAACCGCCAACTAGTGCCGAGGTCAAGAAAGCGTTGGTCTATACATCCACTCCCCCATACGTCTTCATGGCATAGTGCTTAATTAGGTAAGCACGGGGACAAAGTTTTACATTGTTTTACTGTTATAAAGAAATGAGTGCCAGGAATTTTCCTGGTGGATAAAGGGCGGCCGACGCATAAGGCTGATAGCCTTACCGCCATCTGTGAGCCGACTGTCTAGATGATGTGGGAGCCTCGACCTCTCACACCCTGTGGGCCTTCATGACTTGTTAGGGGAACAGCCTTATCTTTTTTCTTACCTTTTATAAACTCATAACGATTCGGGAATGGGATCTATTTTCTTCTTCGGGCGGAAGGATACGTAGGTAAGAGATCAACTTTGCCTAGGAGCCCAGCAGAGTAGAAACTTTTTCAGATCCTCACCACCAAAAACCGAAAATAGAACCCATTTCCGAAACGTTGTAGTTTTTATATGAAGAGAACTAGGGCGATAGATGAAATCGAGATAATAGCCCTGAATACTCTGTTACATCATCATACCAACTAATGTTACATACTTAGTTATAAGTATCTTTGTTATGCAAACACTGAATCCTACAGTATCTTCGTAATATCCATGAATGTTTATGGACCAGACATTGTTTAAACTCTGTTGCCATTTCGGATGTTTATGTAGCATTCAAATTCCTATATGAGAACACTCCATGTAATTGTTGGTATTTTTAATCAATCTATGTAGAACTGTTATAACAACAATGGCATTTCTTTAATGGATGCAATGTCAAAAACATTATTTTAAAAGCTTGGTTTACATGTTAGTGTTTAATGCAGTATTTTTGTTGCACACGATTAACAGTTCGATGAAGACAAGTTTACATCGAAATGTGTTGTTATTCACCCAACAATTTAGCAATAAAAGCAACAATTTATGATGCTCTTAGTAACACAGAATATAGATCGTCGAATGGTAAGATGGCTACTCATTAATGAATTGGTAAGGATGTGGTAGCAAGCGGTCGTGGGCTGATTTGATTTGATTTGATGTTTACGCCATTTGCATGAAGGAGCTCAGGAAAATCACAAATTCTTCTCAGGACAGACGATCTTCGGACCCAGTCGAAGTCTTCTTTAAACCTACGAGCTTAAGAGATTATTTTATCCTGTTCCACAAACTTGTGGTATTTTGAGCAGCCCTCGTTAATGTGATGGTTGGGTGTTACGCCTACCTCTTTAATCGCACGAAAATGTTTCTAAATGACAACGCTTCGAGTCAATACCGGGCAGCTTTGGCGTCTGGAAAGATGGGGAAGGCGGGTACCATGAAACTGAAAGTGTAAATTGCAAGTTCGCGACAAGATGTAGAGGAACTGAGAATGTCATTAGGCAGACACAAGGGAGTGCTTGTCCTCGTACTGGGATGCTGACCCCCCCCCCCCGTTGTCTACATACAGGGGGAACGAGAGCGGAAGGATTTACCCCCTCCAACATGGTTACAAAGTTTCGACAGGTGTTCTTTGCGTGTTTGAATGTCAAGACATTTCTATTTATGAAAGTCATAAATTGTTTTGAAGGACAATACACATTCATTTATAGAAGACTGTGTTATTGATACTGTTCATTTCAGATTCTTTTGTTTTACGGCCACCATAACAAAAACATAAAGATTAAAATGTTCAAAACTATGATTTTGCTTCTTGTTTTGTATAGGTAGGAAACATGATCTTCCCTCTTAAGGGGAGTACGTGAATTGAGCATGTTTTCGAACGGTGTGTGGAGGAAATGTTTCTGCCTAAATAGAGAGTAATTGGAGGCTGCAGAGAATGAAATGAGGAGCTTGTGATTGTGCTCTTCAACTGTTATGAAGATGAAATCAAGGAGAAAAAGACGGGCGTGGTACATAATGTGCATGGGGAGGTGGGAAATACCTGCAAAATTTTAGTTGGAAAACTTAATGCGAAGAGACCGGTTGAGGGACTAGGCATAAAAGGATAATATTAAAATTGATCTTCAGAAAATTGGATATGGACTGGGATGGATTTATCTAGTGCAAGATAGGATCCAGGATCCAGTGGTGGGCAGTTATGAACTTTTGGTTCAAGAAAAGTTAGGGGATATTTCGGCCACGCCATAGCTCAAGCGGTTAGTCGCTGGCTTCCCACCGCGGCGGCCCGGGTTCGATCCCGGGGTCTGGTCAAGTGGGATTTGTGGTGGACAGAGTGGCGCTGGGGCAGGTTTTCTCCGAGTACTTCGGTTTCCCCTGCCAATCTTCATTCCACCAAGTGCTCCACAATCACCCTCACCATCATCTGGGTCTGGTACAATAGGCCAGAAGTTGCCGCAGTACAAAGGTCTTAGTCCCACCCCACTAGCAATAAAGAAAAAATGGGATATTTCGATTAAATGAACTTCAATCAGCATCCTAGAAGAACTATGCTCCTTGAAGTTCATTGGCTGTATGTATTATTTTTTCCTGTATACATCATAACAAGTAACGTTTCAGTTAGAACTCATTTATCTTGATGAGTTATGTGTCTCTTGTCATGTACACATTTTTTTTAAATTGATGAAGTTGATAAAAGCTTGGTTATGGCACCACATAAAGCAGCGGTCACAGTAGAGCGAAAATGACCAAAATTAAACTTTCCTGACATCTTGTAATATAGACTGTTCAGTACAAAATTTAATAGAAATATATTCAATAGACTGAGAGGTGAAACCCACAAATACTTGAGCATGACCTCTTTATGCTTTGGTTTCATGTGGAAAGAACGCATTGTAATATTGGCAGCACTGTCATAAGCAACTTCTATAATACTCATAACGGTATTTTACCCTGCTTGGACAACGTTTTACAGGAAACTTCATGTATATTCCCTTATGTTTGTAACTTACATGGTTCTGGAAGCACCACTTGAATATTCTAGCCACTTCACAAAACCCACTATCCCATACATTTAAGCTAAGTGTAAAAATGTATTTGTCAGTGAGGTCTGTTAATTTTCCTATGGCCCAGTGGGCAAGCATATTTCTGGGCTCATGAGAACATGTTATCTGCATATTACTTGCATTTATCAGATAGGCTGAAATGAATTAAGTTTCCATTTCGAATGAATTCGTGACTCAGAGTGTCTTCCTTTCAGTCATCTAACTCAGACATCTTCTTGGCTACCACCTGTTGAGACCTGGGCTGAGGCAGGTGGTGGGTTTCCCTATGGCTGGGAAGAGGCAACAGACAGTGATGGCAAACCGTATTTTATCAAGTAAGTTCCTGGACATTCATTTCTTAGGATAATATACATTAAGTAAAACATTATCTTATATCTCATTAAATATTAATTGATGCTAATATCGAAATAGACATAGGTTATGATGCATGTACACTGATCATGTACTGTTTTATATGTTCTATTTGGGACATGATATGCCAGTTTTAATTACCATATTAGCCATCACGAAATTACATCCAAAATCCATACAGTGTTGCTACTTTAGCAGAGTAGTTGAACATTTTGCAGGATGCAGTCCAGCCTGATGTAACGTTTTCATTTATAGTAGGATCAGCAGGGTGTTTTGCCCATTGCATCCATTAGTTCTTTATTAATATAACTGTGCCTTTACAGTACATTAGCCATGGTATTTTATTATTTTAATAAACAAAATATCTTTCCCTCCATTTCAAATTATTGTTCACGAGGCAGGTAAAAACCTACACTAAAATGTAGTGTGTGTGTTGTGTATTTCATGGTGATTTTGTGCCATGACAGGGACCTTGTTTTCACTTGCAACAGAATTATTAGTTTGTTTACACATTGAAGTTGGCAGTGTAGCCCTGTAAATATAGAACTGGGCATTGGGGTGGGGGGGTTGGCTTTGAGCTTGTTCCATGACCTTGAAGTGTGTAATTTTGTGATGAGTACTATACCTATAACTATGTGGCCTCTTGTATCATCAGTTTCATTATTAAGTCCATCTGTACCTGTGAACACTATCATAACAACACATTACTTCCAATGATGTTAGTGAATATGAATTCTGGAGATGTACAAAAAGCCACAGGACTTTCTTTCAGTATGAAATAATTTCTTTGCTGTTAATAACAAAATGAAAAATTGGTCACTCTAAATAAAAGTACAAAAGTGTAAGTTTGTTGATTAGATTAAGACATAAACCGTACACATAATATATTCATTTTATTATGGATATAAATGTTGTATACTGCAGAGAAAGAGAAATGTGAAAATTTTCCAGACCTATAAAAATTTGAGAAACATACTTTTGTGTTACTTTGGCAAACAGATAATACGATAAAGATATTGAGCTTTCAGAGTGACTGAATCCAATGAAGTCTTCTTGGGGAATCAGTATGTAAAGAATTCCCAGCATTTTGGAGACTCTCCATCCCTGTCATCAGAGTTCAATTGTCTGATCATCTAAGAAGACTCTGTTGAATGATAAAAATGTTTGCATGTTAAGATGAATTGTTTGTTGCTATGCATAAAGCAGTAAGCAAGGACCTAAAATGATAGATGCCCTATTATGTTGTAATGTGTGGAATGTTGACTCTGAAAGACAGTGCATTTATTTCATTTTTCAAGATGTCAGCAGTTTTGTGTGTGTAAATACAGTGTTGAGTATGTTGGAACGTCGTATTGTTTGTTATATGTGCAGTGAACCTATTTTGTTAATTCTGTAATACTGTATGATGTTTATTCCAAAGATATTGAAATATCAGCAGAATATGTGTAAGAAACCAGAAATCCTTTTTTCCACATGTCCAGTGTCTTATGCTTGAATAAGTTAAAACTTAAATAAAAAAATCTGAAATTAAATAAGAACCTATAAATTCCATTTGTTAATTGTTTTAGTTGATGAACAGGAGGGTGATTGTCACGTCACATGAATCGGAAGATTAAGCATTTTTTGGTCTCTGAGATTTGTCATATGTTATTAACTGTTACTGCTGTTTGGATCTGTTTGGACCTTTAAAACATATTGATGTATGTTGACATTCTTTGTGTGATTGTTATATAATCACAATGATTTAAAACAAAAAATTATCTTATGTTCAGTGTTATCTCCGATGAAACCTTGTCCCCTAGGTCTGTTTCTTCTGAAGAGCTTGTGTCTGTAGGAAGCACCTCTGACACGTTTCAGAATGGCCTTCAGGGCCTTCGTCAAATTTTAAGTTAACTTGCACACCTTAAAATCCACGTTACTTTAAAATGTTTTGGCACAGTAACAAGTCTGGGGGAGTTAATTTGAATGGATAGAAAGAGTGATCATCAGCAGGAATGTTGTGGTGTGCCAAGAATTCAAGCATGGATACGAGTATTGTGTGCAGACACATTGGCACTGCTTGAATATTAAGAAAGTGTTTGTGGATGTATGAAACCTAACTAAAATTGCTTAAATTGAGACACTATAGCTTTAAACTAGTTTTAATAAGTCCCTGGTGCTATGTTTAGTCACTGGCTGCACCACATCAGATTACAACATGGCACTTGTTATTTGCTTTATATAAACGTAACAGGAAGGCATAATACTAATGCATGAAAATGCAGACAACCCTGATTTGTGTGGTATGGATTATAGTGTGTTGCTGTTCCCTGACTAGAACAAGGTGTATATAATGTATTTTGGATAACAGTGCTTGTTCTCTTATGTAGCCACATGGTCTCATTCATACTATGGATTGTAACTGTGCCCTAAGAGGAGAATTCTTAGATTAAGTTTGACTGCAAGCATGGTACATTCAGTTCATTATAATTGTATGATTATATTACATATATGCAGATGCTTAAATTCCTTTCTTAACAGTTGATAATTATTTCCACTTCTATTTGTTGAAGGTATGAACCCTTTCACTGTTATGGACTGAACAGTTCTGCAGTGTGTAAGGTAGACAGTGTAATAGAAATGGAATCCTTCACATATAGTACAGAGTGTTGTAACATCAGTTTTTGACTGCAGAAATTTCTCAGCAAATAAAAATAGTGAAGACATTGATATCGTAGATTCAGTTTTAGCTGTAAAGGTAAAGGTGAAGCTTTGTGTGTGCATGTGCGCGTGTGCGTGTGTGTGTGTGTTTTTTTTCGTGTGGAGGGATTAGATATTATATTAGTGTTTAAATTTCTAAATATGGTTGAATGATAAGAAACAGATAGCCAGCCAATGTACTTCTCTTCTCTAACAGCAAAATTGTTATTGTACAATTTAGTGACTTGAGATGTGCCATGTTGAAAGTTAAGGACATTTTCTTGAGACCAGTCAAATCCATAGCAGGGAAACCTGTGTGGTGTGATCGTGTTGGTGTCACTGTAGGTATTGGGCGCACGCACATGGTGATGTCTAGAGTAGACGGTGTCAAGCGACAGCCTTGCGCCAATCAGAATGCCTTTCGACACTTCTTTCTTCACAGACCAAGGTAGTACAGTTGTAGCCAGGATGGGCCCTCCGTTTCCAGTTGTATTAATAAGAAGCAAATCAGTTATTTGGTGCTGTGAGCAAGCAGTTTGGTAAATTGTAGGGCTGTCATCATTGATCACTAATAATTTTCTTTAGTCACTCAGTTAAGAAGCTTGGCCATATGTTGTTCATATTTTAAATCTACAGTGCTTAACTTTTCTTCATATATTACATACATTTTTTGTGTACTTTGTATGTATATTTAATTTTGTAATTTATTTCTGTTGTTAACTTTAATATCAAGGCCTTTTTTGAGCTGTTTCTAATTTCATTTTTGCAATTATAAGTTTATTATGTATTTACTAATACATTAGTATTTTCCTGAAAATCAGACTAATTCATGTGTTAATTGTGGAATTTGCTCATTATTCTCCTTTTAATCAGTTAAAAGCACATTGAATCAACCTACTCTCATTTTAGTTATAATTTTTTTCACCTCTTTTAATTAATTTATTTATTAATAAATGAGTTCAATTTTTTCATGACATATCTTAAATCAAGTAACCAATTAATAAATTAATTCTTTAATCACTGATTAGTTCCTTTAGTGTGCCAATCAGTTAAAGCTCTTGACTATAACGACATTCATTCTTCTAACTTAGAATGTAAGATGTACCATCATTTATTCAATCATTTTTCACATACACTCTTATTTCCTTTTTCTGTTGCCATGTGTTATAGTTCTTAACTTTTAATTTCTCAGAATTTTTCTTTGCATCACTGACTTTGTTCATTGATCTATGATGTTACCCAGAAGGAAAGGTCTTTGAAACAGTTCATTTTTTAATTTCAGACTTCCAATTATAAGTGTATTATCAATTCTTTAGCTAATATGTTAGTATATCAAGTATATTTCTTTTAACCAGGATTGATTGATTAATCATAAATAGTTAATTGATTACTTTTTTAATCAGTTGACATATATATTAAATTTGCTGGTACAGAATGACAAAATTATAGATCGAATGCTCTCTTAAATTTCAGAAATAGTGTTCCAGTGGTTAGGTGAATTTGATGAAATTGTGTAGACCTGTCATGCCAGAGAACTGTGTCAGTTGTGAAATCCTGGAAACAGAGGGCCCTGTAGAGTTTCAAATACTAACGCTGAAGGTGTGGTTTATTTTATTTTTGCACAGTAAAGCAGGATGCAGCGCTGGGACATGAATACAGTTCCATCTCATACATAGTCTTTGTGTTTCTCTTAACAGAAGATTTGAATCTGTCATATTGTGTTTGATGAAATTATGGCATAATAAGCTATGATATCTCGGTCAGTAAAATGATTTCCAATGGCAGGTGTTGAAATCCTGGCAGGGACATTAGGGTTGTCCTTCTCAACACACTAATGTGCAGAATGGCCCTGGGGCTACCATCTTCGTTCCAATGAATATTACTGAGCATAAAGTTACCCATTTACATTAATCCAGTTCCATTGTACAGAAAGCATGGCACTTTACTGATCTGCCCACATAACCCCTTTATGGCATGGTGCAAAGGCATAATTACAATTTCTAAGTACAATGTATTCCTGATATTGGTGACAAAGTTATGGAACTTGATGGTAGAGAAAGATGAAGATAATTATAATAATTATCAAGAAACTGAAGTAAAGGTCGCTTTTATGTAAGAGTCATTTTGTCAAGAAATTTCTTTTGTGGATTGTGTCCCTTGTTGTGCATCACTTATCATAAACCCCCAACTTGAAATGAGGTTATGTATTTGATCCTCAGTCTGAGAGATGTTTGCAACATTTCTATGGCAAAAGAGTTGATTACACGGTAGTAATATCCTCTGCTGTCTGTGTCATTCAGGCTACATCCTGTTTTGTATGCCTTTCTTTGCCTAACTGTGTTTGAATTAGTCTGCAGGAATATGTTTTGTTGGCATGTTGCATGTTTCCTCTCATTTGGGGTGTATATCTATATGTTATGATATTTCTTCTCTTTCTCTCTTCTAATGTAAAAGAAATAGAACCTCTTTTTTTTCAGATTTTTTATTCTAGTGAATACTGATTATGCTGTATGTGTGACAAGAACAGGTTACTATATTTATGTGAATATAAGCTATCCTTTGTTTTACATTTTTTGAAATATGAATACAAGTTGAATGACATAATTATGTGAAGTGTGTGAACTTGTTTTTTATGGGTGTTCTTTGCATACAGTACATAAAAAGAATGATAATATGGTGGGTATATTCGTTCATCCAGTTTTCCGTTGAAATTTAGTAATGTGGTCCTACACTAAGAGTTTTCAGAGTTTATTTTCATCTCTGTCAATCCACTTTAGCCCTGCTTTACACGAAACAAACTGTAGCAATCTTCTAAAAACGGCTGATAACATGAAATATTTGAATTTCAAGTAAATATGTAACTCACTAAGATTGGGGCATGCGGTAGCATAGTTGGTTGAGGCACTATGCTACAAGCCGGGAGGTTGCGGGTTTGACTCCCAACGAAGTCGCTGGATTTTTTTTCAATTCACCTATTCCTTCCAGCTGCACTATGGCTCTGAGGTCGACTCAGCCTCCAGCAGGAATTAGTACCAGGAATCTTCCTGGGGGTAAAGAGCTGCTGGCACATAAAGCTGACAACCTCACCGCCATCTGTGAGCCGATTATCTAGAAAATGTGGGAGCCTCGATGTCTCACAACCATTTTGGGCCTCCACGGCTTGTTACAAGGATAGCTTTGCACAGTGTGTCAAGGATCCGTTACGACTAATTTTTTAAAATTTTGCCCTGCAATGCCATCTGTTGCCGAGTTGTGGTGTTAAGTAAGATTCTTGAAGTTTCAGCTGTGGCTGTCTGTAATTTCAAAGCGCAAGCATCCCTGCATCATGTGTTCTGACCTTGAATGTATAGTACTGTTCTGATGCTCGTCAGAAAATGGCAGTTGAACAGAGAGCCAACATAAAATTTTGTTTGAAGTTAGGCAAAACAGCCGGAGAAGTGTACAAAATGATGAAAAGTGTGTACAGTAGTGATTGTTTGAGTCGCTCGAACATTTTTAGATGGTATGCTGTATTTTGTGAAGGCAGGGAGGACATTGAAGATGCTCCACGTGCATCAAAGCCGAGGAAAAGTCGCACTGAAGAAAATGTGGAAAAAGTGACCGAAATCCTTGCATCAGACAGATGTGTTTCTGCAAGACTCATCAAGGAGCTTTTAAGAATACCAAAAAGTACTGTGTATCAAATTTTGACTGAAGATTTGGGCAAACGGAAGGTCTCTGCGTGGTTGGTACTGCACGCGCTGTCAGGCAAGGAAAAACATGCCAGAGTGGAACACTGCAAAGACATGTTACGATCGGCCTAAAGTGATACAGAATTTACAAAATCGATTGTTACTGGTGACCAGACATGTGTTTTCACAAAGCCTCTCACAAAGCGGCAGAGTGCAGCATGGTTGAGCCCAAAGAAGCCGAAACCAAAGAAAGTGCGCATGCAAAACAGTCGAGTAAAGACACTGCTAACCGTTTTCTTTGATTCCAAAGCGATTTCTGCCAGAAGGTCAAACAGTGAATTCTGATTATTATCTTGGAGTCCTCAATTGTATGTGGGCGAGAATTCTTCAAATTCGACCTGAATATCGAGAGCAAGGTTCCTGGTCGCTCCTTCACGACAATGCCTCACCCCACAAATCGAAGATCATGCGTGATTTTTTGGCCAGAAATGGGATCACAGTCCTTGATCATCCTCTGTCTTCGCCAGATTAGGCTCCAGCAGATTTCTGGCTGTTCCCAAAAATTAAGTTGGCCATGAAAGGAGGCTGTCACGACACCCTCCAGGACATCCAAAGGGAATTCCCACATTTTTAATGTGATTCCACAAAAGGAGTACAGTGACTGTTTTAGAAAACTTTTCAGTCATTCCAGCAATGTATTGATCCAGAAGGAGACTATTTTGAATAAAAAGAGTGAAATTTTGAAAGTAATTCATGTCTTTTATTTTTAATGAACACAGTCCTAGCAGAACCTGGACACACTGTGTATCTGTTTACTCACTAAGACCTACAGTAAGACCTATGACTTGTATTTGAAACATTTTAAAGTGGTGTATATTTAACAACACATTTAATGAAAATTAATTTATGAATCTGTTCATATTTCTGTTGTTGATTAGTATTATCAGCAGTAGTGTTTATGAAGCATTTACATTTTTTCATAACATTTATGAAGCCTAGTCTCCATCTTTCATTCCCCTTAATTGGCTCAAGGCAGTAACATTGGCTATTTTTTCATTAGTTTGAACTTCCCGAAAGAGTAGTGGCTGTGCTGAATTGACAGCTTTTAGTCTACCTTGTAGATTCTTTCTTCTGACTGGGAAAATTTGTTTTGCATGTGAGATACTTATCTGTGTTTTCAGTTCCAGTACTGTTGTATATTTCATTAGGATGAGATTACCAAATTTAATACTTTGCATAATAATGATTATTTACTTGCAGGTTAAGAAACATGAATTATGGTTGGAATAATTAGTAATAATATTATTCAGAATAGGGTTCAATATGAAAGTAAGAGTGACCTCATATTTAGGCAGTTCAGTACTTGTTTGCCTGTGTGCATATGTACTATAATCTTGTAAGTGAATTTACCAGTGTCCTCTTTCAGTACAGAAATAATTACTATTTTCTGTTACTTAAGTAGATCAGACACTTGAAGTGACATATTATTAGTGTCCTTTTCTGTTATTCTTCATGATAATGTGTTGGACTTGACTCTTTTATAACAAGATGAGGAAAATTTCACCATTTCTGAACTCATGAGACCTGAGGTTTTCATGGTGGCAACTGTGACTGCTATCAGGGATGTGACTTCTATGTAGTCTGGTAGAAGCCTTTGATCTTGAAGATTGGGCAGCGCATTCATCCAAAAAACTGGTAAGCATCTACCAGACTACACTGTGTCACATCCCAGAAGACAGTAATCTTCATTTCTGATTTTTCTGTCCATGATATTGGTTTAAAATTATATGCCCATGCCTGAAATCCTTAGGCTTTGACATAATATTTTGCAAATCTTGTTATATCAATAACTTTTATAATGCTGAGATTGATTATGTCAAAGGTAAAATGTGTAATGATACAAATTCTCCGTGCCAGACATATCCACCATTTTGGATTGCTACATGCAACTGCATGCTGGTGGTAGATGTGAAAAGCTATACCAATGGCAGCAGAAATTATAAATGTTCATTCATAAAGCTTATATGACAGTTGCAGTAACCATTTTATCTAACTGATATTCAAATCCAACAAAAATTTCATAATATTTTTCTCATATATACAGAATCTTTAAAGCCAGGTACTGAAAGGGATACCTTGTGAATGGCATGCAAATTGAGCCTTAATTATCCCTAAATAAAAAGTTGTTGTGATTAGTCAAATTTACTATTTTTTGAGAATGGAATACAGATATGCTTTTTTTTTAAAGGTTAAAGTGTTGGCTGAACTGCACAAATTGTTGTGTGGAATGAATCAGTTTCTTTGAATTTAGTGGAGACATTCATGTAACTTTGGTATACACTTGACCCCAAAACTTTAATGTCACATATACTTAAATTTTAACAAAAGTGGGTTTCATATAAAGGTAAAAGGTTTAAAAATGCAGAACTAACTTCCAATAGAGTATGTACACAAAGTTTTAACTGAACTGAAATATCTTAGTTTTAAAAACGTTTCAGACATGGACAGAGGTATGTAGATGGACAAATTAGAATTGCTGTGTTTTCAGTACAACATAATCCACTTGTATGAGTATAATAGGATAGGGAATATTCTCAGTTAACTAAATCCCTATTATAAATGAAATTTATCATTCAGGAGCACTAATACTTTTTTTGAAATAACTGTTTGAGGGTGAAAAAATACTCTTTCTGTCCCCCTTTTTAAATTCACATCTAATTTTCTCATGTTATCAGTGGAAGTTATGTCTTAAGCTCCCATGAACAAGAAAAATAAACAAATGAAAATTTTAAAGACATCATTACTTTCGTGTCTTACATTCATCTATGAAATTGGAAAACCACCCAACACAGCATACTTTTAAGTGTCTTTTAATGCAGTACTCTATGCAACTTAACATGTTTCACCCGGAATTTCTCCATCTTCAGGGGTGTTTAATTAAGTGCATAGGCCATTGAATATTTCACATTACATGCATATAATACAATTAAAATGGAACTGCTTTATCTTCACATAAGATGAAAATTCTAATAAATTATGTACTAATAAAACATCCCACAAAATGTAAATATTTTTGTTCAAACATGTGGGGTGAATTAAATATTTTATTAAATTACTTAAAATTAGTTTGTTAGATGGTATTGATAAGTTGATGTATGAAAGAAGGCACCATTGCTAAATTAATCTTAGCAATTAAATTAAATCCCCATACAACACATCTTGATTTAGTTGAATTCTGTAATAATATTCATTCATGTGGATTTGATTTTGGCTGTTGCTGGAGAAACTGATTTAGGTGTATGTAAGTATTACACTTGATTTTTGATGCCATGTTTCTTGTAAACAAGAGCATAGCCAGACTTAAGATATAGTCGTAGGTGAAGTGTGATACATGAGTTGTTATGGAATTTAATGAAATGTTAGCATTTATACTTAGAAACAAAATTTAATCACAGTTGTTTAGATTACCATGTTGGTAACAAAGTGTGAGAAATAATATTCAGTATTTCTGTGACAGTCACCTCAACAAGACCACCACATATGAGGATCCTCGCAAGGACTGGACAGAAGAGCCACCACAACCAAGACAGGTGGAACTCGCACGACACCCGGAGCTGGGTTTTGGATTTGTGGCGGGCAGCGAGAAACCCGTAATTGTGAGGTATGACTTCAAAAGAAGTTTAATGTTTTTACTTGAGTCATGACATTTCAAGTTTAATGTGAATAGTGCATTCCCAGCTCATGAAAGACTACAAGAAGTTCTGTAACATGGACGTGCTTAAGAACTGCATTTTGATGGCCTGCATTTTGTAAAGGTGATTTTTATAAAGGCGAGTTTCACAAAAGTGTATAACTGTATCTTGGCTTGCTATTTTCATCCATATTCCGAGGACTGAACTGATTTATTTGGCTCATATGACAGGTCCTGAAAATGGGCTTCTCTGATGATGATTATGAAATTTCTGTGCTGTAGAATTAGGGAATATCTCAGCCATATAAGTAACAGTCAACTGATTAAGAAATAAAGGATCCTGTACCATGGAATTTGATTTCATTTTTATCATCTTAATTCTCCTGGGGAGTAAAGCGTGGCTGGCGCGTAAGGCTGACAAACTTACCGCCATCTTTGAGCCGATTGTCTAGATAATGTGGGACCCTCAACGTCTTGCAACCCTATGGGCCTTCAAGGCCTGGTACAGGGATAGCTTTACTTTACTTACTTGCCATCGTTACATAATGTGCATAATTGTTATACATAGTTGAATTGTGCTGTATTGCAGGTTTGTCACTGAGGGTGGACCAAGTGTGGACAAGTTGCAGCCAGGAGACCAGATCCTCATCATCAACGGAGAGGATGTTAAGAATGCTCCCCGTGACCATGTGATCCAGTTAGTGAGATCATGCAAGGAAACAGTGCGGCTGACAGTTTGTCAGCCTCCCCTTGACAATGTGAGTCATTTATTCTGAGGCTGCTGAAAGAAGTCCCATGGGTCAACTCTCTTCACATTTTCCTTGAGCTGCTACAGTTCCTCCACCAGCATTTTCCCATGTACTCCCTTTTAGCCATCTTACATTCTTTTAGCATGAATGTTGGCAGTAATAACCATGTGATAAGTTTTACTAGTGACAGATGCTTTGGACTGGTGTGCTTTGGCCAAAGGAGGGCTGGAGGGGAATGTTACAGTAGGCAGAAAGGAGGAAACCTTGCGTGCCTCCACCATTTACACAATCTGTGGGGGTCCTATTTGTAATGTAATGAAATGTCGGTGTGTCGTTGCAGTCAGCCCGCAAGTCAGCACTGCTCAGTGCAGCCAAGAAAGCGAAGCTCAAATCCAATCCATCTCGGGTGCGATTTGCTGAAGGAGTTGTTGTGAATGGCTCCCCTCTGTTTCCTGTAAGTAATGGGACATATGTTCTTACTTCACATAAAGTTGTTGGTGTGGTTAAATCAAGAAATATGAGATGAGCAGGACATGTAGCATATGCAGCTTTCCAATTTAAATGCTAGAATGTCTGTATGACAACTCAATGGGTGGTGATAAAATTATGGTTCCCAATTTTGAATTGTTTCATTTTGGTCCGTTACACTATCAATCACAAAGTTAATAGAAAGTCCGTCGAGTGTAACAATTTGTAGGTCACTTTTTATTATTATTTCTGCCTTACATGTTTCGGTTTGAAACAACCATCATCAGAGGCACTTGCTACAATTATGGAAACACTGTCGCTGTTTTGATGTTCACAATTATGTTTGTCGTGTGGACGTTGCTACGATATGTTGACGTGTAAAAGCACAAACATGCTAAGATAGTTGAGTACACTATCAAGTTCTCACTTTTCATCCGAACCTATTTTAAGTTAAAACACTAAAATATTAAAATATTTGATATAAATGCTGAACTTCTCCTTGTTAATTCATCCCGAAGATGGGAGACGTCAGCTTGAGGTTGTATGGCTGCAAAGATATTATATTACTTAGGATTATGTATATATTATTATATATATATATATTGTTTAATGTTGTATTTGATTCTTGCTTACCTTATGATTTGATGTGTTCCTGTTTGATGTGTGCTGTTAGCTG